ATACTCGCTTCTGACGGGTTCTGCCACTACGAAATTCGATACCGTAGACTACTGAATACAGTTGATACAGATTCCTTAGACATGTGATGACATACCATCACACTGTGTGGTTTTCTCGTTAGATTATCTTGTTCGAGGTTCATGAGCGTGGATTACACTGATGTGTTACTCGATATACGCAACGCAAACGCTTGGGCTAAGAAACTTGTAACAAACTCTTGATACAGGTAGGGTCTCGTGAAGATAATAGTTTCTGGGGTCTCTTTGACCGACCAACGTCCCACCGCAATAAGAAATCTCCTCTAGGCGAGACATTCCCACCAATATCTATTTTGTATCGCATTTGCTCTCCGCGCGGTGGGTGACCAAGATTCCAAAAGTCGTATCCACTGTCCTCGAGAACCTTCGCAAGAGCAATCATTTGGAGAAGCCCGACAGCTCGGTGGCAGCAGTGTGGATCTCTTCTGTCGACAAAACCAGACAGGGAGGTATAAACAGCCCCCATCGTGTACCCAACCTCTCCAGCCAGTAGCTTCCCGCTCGAATCGAGAACCTCGACACACTCAACTTCGAAGGCTGAGTCGCCTACTGGGATGGGCCCGCGCTGGTTCATCCGTTTCAATATGGACACGTACCTCGATAGAAAAACGAGACCTGCCGGGGTCGAACCCGGAACCGCAAAGAGCTTACTTTGTCCCGAGCCAATTATTCTTCCCATTCGCCCGCGCGATACCTTTGATAACGCGTTCTATAGCCGCACCGCTAGGATCGCGCGTCGCTCGGAAAGTAAGCTCGCCAGGATCTAAGCGCCGAATGGCTTTGCGAATCTTCTTGGGTATGTGTAAGTTGGAGAAGTCGAGCATGCAGTATCTACTACCGCCGCCTCGATGATGATGATCAAGAAAATGGTACGATTGCTCACCTCTTTTGCATCTCTGGCATAAGGAGGCGGTTCTGATAGGACACAGCTATACAACCGATGTACGCCTGCAGGGTGTAGAACTCATCGGTCCACTCGCGAGAAGCGTAATAGTTACGCGACATGCTATTTCTGATGAAATCCTAAATCAACATGCTGATACAGTCTAATGGATATTGACCCTGACGCATGATCAACCGACACCGGCTCAAATCTCAGGAGAATCATTTTCTTACCACAATTCTTTGGTCTTCCATATCACTGACAGATATCCCGAGTATCTCCTCGGCCTCCTCTGACTCGTCCTCCGATACCTCCCGTTCCTCATACGTCGGGCCCGACAGAGCCCCGGTAGTCGCCGCCATTGAAACCAAACAGATTTCCGGAACGACCATAGAGAGAATAATCCATCATCGATATTCCGATATGAGGTCTTCGTTTCAAGATATACAAATCAGCCAATGCGCGACCTCATAAGAGCAGCTTTGATTCGACGATTTCCCAGCGGCCTCTCGACCAAGCCCGAACATACAGAACTCAATGCATATCACCAGCACAGAAACTAATAAATTCCGCTACAAAGGTCTCTCCGTGTTTTCTCAATTCCATGGCGTATGCCCCCATCATTTGGCCGAGTCGATGTTTGCTGGGCAAGCACATTACCCATTCCAGCTCAAGAGCGCCTTCAGCTCTGTAAACGCTACCGACTGATGTATGGATCAGTTCATCTCTTCCCACACACTAACTGTCGTCCCTCGAGGCGATTCATAGTTCTCTATATATGATCAAAACCGAATTTCTATCACCGCACTCGTTGCCACGGGCACTTGCCAGTTTGTTGGATGAGAGAAAATCGGTCTTAGGGGATCCGGAGGAGGAAAGCCATCGCAATTTTGCGTCTCGTAAACGGATAATGTATCGCAGGCTGCTGGATACTGGCGGTTGGATAACCTCCCGTCCAAAGAAACCGTTCCGCAACTTGTGGACCACAAGAGCCACTCCGACAGTTCAACAATTTCGAAAAAACTCCGCCCACTTAAAAGGCATTAATAGTTGTATAACCCGACCTTGGGTTAGTCTAGAAAGTCTAATAAGCAATGCTGCCAGTCGGTGATCCGTCGGGATTCACAGCCTT